GAAAACAGTTCTCTGATATGGTAAATTACGGTGTAATACGGTGAAGGTATGTGCCAACCAATGAGTGTGTCGCAGGGCGGGGCGCAAACCCTGCCCACACAGCCAGCGCGCGATTGTATGAAGTGCTCTCAACGGTATTTTGATTTCTTCCACTTCTGTTGAACCATTTTTAGCGGTATTTCTACTTTCTTTTACTACTGTTGGACCAATCAGCAATATTCCCATCTTTTTTGGGGTGCTAGCGTGGTTGAGGCCTGTTCGTCTGTGCCGTTTCCATCGCCGCCGCGACACAGTTTCGAAATACAGTGGCCCCTCAGGACTAACAATAAGCCTTGGAGAGAACAAGGCTTATTGTGGCGGTGTTAGCGTAGTTGAGGCGTGGCCCCCCTCAACTACGCTAACACCTTTTTTGGACCTAATATCCCTGGCATTGATCTACCGAATGTCTTTTCTTTCCACTAATCTTCCTGTTAGAGGAATCCTAGCTTGAGGGCTAGAAATTTGACTCAAATGTGGGCCGTTCTTCCATGTTTAGAATTTTTCCATTTCTAACGTGTATATCATGATAATATCCTCTGACCGAACTGATAAGGGAGAAGCGACAAAGTGGCACGCGGCTCCACTTCCCACGCGCACGTTCGTTGGGGTCAAGTTGAGTGCGTGGCGCATTCCGAAAAGGGACCGATCTCCCTCCGGAAACTTCTTACTTAACCTTTACATTCTAAGAACTGATAGTGTGGAGCGTCTGGCAAGCCGCTCAACAGCTTGCGAAATAGCTCTTGATCTAGACCAGCCAGAGGTCACTCGCTTTCGGTGATCGGAGATCACACAAACATCGCGTGACCTCATGTGTAGTAAACATATAATCACCGATACTATATAGTGTACATTTCACAACACTTGGAAACATTGCTTCAACGCATTTTTCGAAGCACTGGTGCTCGTTGTTCTTTGTCCGTCTGCGCTCTGTCTTGTCGCATCAGAGAGCCAGAGCAGGTTGCTCGAATTGTTCTGCAGTTTGACAACCAGTCTCTAAGATTATGATTAACCCTTTGACGACGTGCGCGCCCAACTCTCGCTCACAATTAGGCAAAATTGTCCTTCAAAGCAATTTTTCTGTAGAATTTTTGACTCTAACAGTATACCAGTTATAACTGCAGTTCTAGGCTTTCATACTGTAAATTTTTTCAAGAGAATTCCAAATTTGGACGGGGAACTCGCGTTTCAAAGGGAAGGAGGGCAAAACCTCTAAAAGTTTAAGTGTCCAAGAGAATTTCCGGTACACTTCAAACCCCTTCCTGTATCTGAGGGCTATGAGAAGACGAAGAAGTCCTGATTAGTAATTAATCTTCGGCCTAATAACCTAAAACCCCAATTACCCTCCCTTCAAAAAGCGAGAAAGTGTCGGGTGCAGACCAAACACCACAACTGACGACGGCCTCCAAGTAAATCTGGTTAGTAGTGGTTCATAGTGATAGCTGATTTTTGGTAAATGATAGTTGTAATTAGTGACAACTGATAGAATACAACTGCAACAGGCTAATCATTTCATTGGCAAAAAACATTTGCATTTTCTGACCTGACACTTTCTGGCTTTTTGAAGAGGAGGGTATGTATAGTGGAATAAAGCACGTTATTTCACGAA